CTGTATTGAGTTCTCAAACTTTTTCTTAAACTTAGTTTTCTTGCAGTTGCACTATTTGGAGATGAATCTTAGATGAAAAAGTTTGAAACTGTGATGCTCAAAATTTTAGAAAATGTTTCTTTTGATGCAATTCAATATATTGAGGGATTTCATTATTAATAACCTCTTCATCTCAATCGGTGATGATATTTTCATCTATTTCTTGTGAAGCCTTGGCACCATTGTAGGATACACCATCAAATTTGCTTATGTGCTCGTCAATTACCCACTTATCATCTTTTGAGCTTTGGAAGATTATATCGTCTATCGCTTGACCTGAAATTTGGTCTTCAGGGTCGGCTTCTCCATATATTTGATCAACATTTTCTCCATTTGCGTCCAATATTTGATCTGAGTCAATGACTGGCCTGATATAGCTAAGGATTGATCAAAGACATCAACTTCCCATATATCTTTGTCAATACTTTCTCCATAAAGATCACCATTGGTATATATAGCTCCAGGCGTTGCTTGTTCTGAATTTACTTACTTTATTTCTTCGATGGAAGCTACCATATCACCTGTATACACATCTTCAAGAGTTTCTTGATTCATATCGATTACATCAGTGTCTTGCTTCTCCACATGGTCAACTGCATTATATTCTGGATCCTCGATCCAATCTCTTTCAAGGTTGATCGAACCCATAGTTGCTCGAGCCTCAACTACACTAAAAACTTTCCCCATTCTTCTTCTTTTTCAACAACTTTTTTAGCCATATGGATCGTCTATATCTTCTTATGTGCCTAGCTTCGCCGCAACGATAACATCTGAAAGGCTTCTTACAATAATACTTAGAAGGCTCTTCCTTCTCTCTAGGTGAGTGTGAACCACCTAAGGATCGAGAGTGTGATACATCTCTCATTTTTCCTTTATTTTTTATCTTGTCGGCTATAAAAGCATCTCATTCTCCATCTTTGAAAAACACACTATCGAACTTCTTGGCTAGTGATTCCTGTGACGATAACAAATTTTCAAATTCCTTCAAGGATAAATGTTAATTCCATCCTTGAATTAACGTCACAAATAAAATATATTCAGATTTCAATGTACTAAGGATTATACTTCTTATTTGTGCTTCAGAAATAGCCTCCTCCAAATTCAATAAATATATCTACGACATAAGTTCTTAATCTTTAAAAAATACCGG